GCTCCGGGCGGCCCCATGCTCCGCAGCCCAGCTAGCTCAGCTCTTGCCAGTGTGGTCCTAATGGGCCATACCCTCAAGCTGGGAGGCGCTTCTTACCTGAAGTTATTTTATCAGGTCCCGAGAGGACCAAGGAGTCTTTGACCTTTGGTTTGCAAATGTGTTCTTCACCTCCCCCCCCCCCCCCCCCCGCCACCATCCCCGTGAGCAATGAACTTCCTTTCATTTGTTTCCTGCATAGTTACAGTTATTCTGACACACTGGTTAGCCACTGGGCCCAGTGAACTGAAAGTTGCTATCCTTACGCAGGCAGGCCTCCACACATGGCTGGGTCTGCTCCTTTCTCTTGCAGAAAACTCTTCCCCACACTCAAACCACATCTTACCTGCTGGCATTTCTGTTAATTCTGATAACCAGAGTCTAGGGTGCTCTCTTAGCATTTCCTTATGACAATTTTCTCTATACTCGGGTCTTGTTTTCAACACAAACTCAGTCTTCATCGTAACATCTAATCCTGACAATTGCTCAGGAATTGGCAGACCCACCAACAGCTTCACCACCAAAGATTCAAGGATGTAAAAAAAAAAAAAAAAAAAAATTAAAATGTGCACAGGTGAGACTTTTCCTAAGCTCAGCCACCTAGGCACTCAGAGCCACTATAGCTAGGGTTTGAGGGAAATGGCTACTGCTCCAGCTGGCAGAGCTTGGCGATGCCCTCATACTGTCACTGTGCAAGCATGCCAGTTTATCTTCTGGGAGGCTTCAGCTAGTTTCCAGAGAAGTCTTTGGAGGCCAGGCAATATGTGGAAACTCAGTGTCCCTGCTAAAGGCTCCGTTAGGGGCCAATGCATGACACTGAGGCTGTGATGTCAGAAGCAGAATGTTGAGAGCCCAGGACTGTGTAAGATCTGCTTCAAAAAGTCATAAGCACTACGAAGAAGTGTCCTGAGAGAACAACTCCTGCCCCAGCTTTAGAGCCCATATCATGACACCAAGTGCCCTGAATGTTCAGCACAGAGCGTTAAGTGCTTGAATGTTAGGTTCATTCAGTTTTGCTCTGGTCCATTTCTCTCTTGCTATGTCTCCTATTGTTTTATGTTGGGAATATGTAACTTTCCCCCCTTACTTTACAGGGGTTCACAGCTAATTTTGCCTTGGGTCTCAGAAGCGACTCTGAACTTGGGCTATCAATGTTGGAGCTATTGAACATGATGAGGACTCAAAGCAATGGACTGAACACATTTTGCCTTAAAAGGTGGTCCTGGGCCTCTCAAGATGCCAAAGACAGAAGGCTGTAGTTTAAAGTTTGGATATCTAGTTGGCAGGGTGTGGACCTGAAACGTAGCTCTTAGTAAGGCACACTTGGGAGTGCCTATGTTTCAGATCATTGCTTTGTTTGAACAGTGACCTGATCTACAGATTCCTGCTGGACTCATGACATGACAGCACAACTGTGAGGGGTTAACAAGTAGGAGAAATAACCTAGCAGGAAGCAGGTCACTGGAAGCATGCTCCTGAAGCATGCTTATCCTGGCTCCTCCCTGTGATCCTCTCTGCTTCCTGACTGCCATGAGTTGAACTAAGATGCTTTGACTCCCTCCTGCCATGATGAAGGGACCCATCAAATGACATGCCAAGAGAAACAATCCCTACTTTTGTTTTGTTTCTGAGATAAGGTTTTCCTGTGTAGCCTTGGCTGTCCTTTGTAGACCAGGCTGGCCTCGAACTCAAGAGATCCGCCTGCTTCTGTTCCATGAGTTCTGGGATCAAAGGCGTGTGCCACCACACCCAGCTATACAATTCCTGCTTTTAAGTTGCTTCTGTCATATATTATGATCACATATATACAGGAGATAATACATCTGTGTGGCATCAAAGCCCAGTCTTTGGATAATGATGGCACATTTGATTCATACACCGACTTGAGAACTATATTATTGCTATTTATTAGGCACACTAAACGGGACCGTGAAGTGTCCACCTACACCTCTGCCCTCACCTGTCTCAGGGTTCTGGCTGTTTTGATAATTTTATATTAATTCTATTCTTTTATTACTCAAGTGACAATTTTCTCTTTCATGCTACCATTATCAACTTGCCATTTATACAGGTGAGGGCCACAGATTTTTTTTTTCATATTAATTTGATCTGAAGCTACCTTGGAATTAGAAAAATAATAATCAGTTCTAGGGTATAGACGCACATTATCGTGTGACTTGCAAACAGCTTTTATTACCCTAAAGCTTCTAAAGATTTCTTCTTATTGGCCATCTCCAGGCTACTGAGAAGCAGAGACAGCAACTGTCCTGGCTGTTCCTGGTTTGGCAAAGATATCTATTCACTCAGGAACAAGACAGCTAAATTGAGGATTGAAAACACATTATACTGTGTTAAGAAAGGACTTCTCCATTCCTCTCTTTCTAAGTGCTGTGAGGGAAATGGATAGTGAAAGCTGGCAGAGTATTTTTTCCAGTGTTTTATGAGTATTTAATTAATAGATTTCCTGATATAGCACCATCTGGCATTTATGGCAGAAACCTTCAATGTTATGTTTTTGTTCTTATAGATGGTTATGAGCCATCATGTGGTTGCTGGGAATTGATCTCAGGATTTCTGGGTGAGCAGACATTGCTCTTAACCTCTGAGCCATCTCTCCAGCCCTATGTTTTTATTTTTTTTTAATGTCATGTTTCTTTCCTGTAGCACTGATATGTACGTAATGGCATATTTGGGGGTCTCTGAGGTCAATGTCAGATGTGTTTCTCAATCCCTTTAAGACAGTGTCTCAGACTGGCCAGTGAGGCCCAGGGATCCACCTACCTCTACCTCCTCAGCACTGGGTTTAGATAAATGCCTTCACATTCACCTTTTTATGTACATGCTGGGGGCCCAAACTCAGGTGCTCATGCATGCACAAAAAGCACTTTACTAAATCAGCCATCTCTCCCACCCGGTCTATTAATGTACTATTTGGTCATGGTATTTTCTTTATAGAGTTTCTGCTGTACTGATAATCAGAATAGTAAAGATGAAGTTGCTTTGCATGGACATAGAAAGTAGCATGGCTGCATCTCATTTGTGACAAGCTGATCATGTTGCTGCTCCCATGAAGAGCAGGTTAAGGTAGGTGTCCACTGTGGTCTCTCAATAAATGGGGAATTGTCCGTATCATGCATATTATTAAGTTTATTTGCACAGATCTGCAAAGCTGGCTTTGGTGAGTTTATTCCTAAGAAAACACAAATGGCCATGAGAACAAAAGGGCATTCATCTCTATCAGAAGAAAATAAAAACTCCTGACATCACTGCATACCTGATGGTGGGAAGCAGAACGTGGGAAACCTGGACTCCACAAAGGAGACTGTAAAATGATGCAGCCACTGCAGAGACCAAGAGGATGGTTCCCCACAAACTAAACAGTTATCATGTGGTCCAGCATTTATTCTGGACATGCAAAAATTACTGGAGGACTTAAAGACATTTAAATCCTCATGTTCACATCTTCACAGTAATAAACTACCCAGATGCTCAACACATGGACAGAGAAGCAAAGTGAGGCCCATCAGCAGACTAAAAAGGAATTTCTAAAACAAGCTGCATAAATAGACATTGAGGACATAACAAGTCATAAAAGGACATATCCTACATGATTCCTTTGCCATGAAATCCATTCAGAGTAGAATGGGAGCTGCTGGAATCAGGTGTTCAGTGGGGACAGACACCCAAGCTGCACAGGATGAAGAGGGTTCTGTACCATTTAGGGGCTGCACAGAGGTGTGGCCTAACACCTCAAAGGGCAGAACATACAACCACAAACACACACAGACCTAATGACACTCTACTGGCTCATCAGTCATCTCCTGAATGTGCTTCCCCCCCCCTTTTTTTTTTAAAACTTAATCAACTCATGGTCTGTGAGAACCAGTATTTTAACTTTTATTTATTTTCTTCTTAAGTCCAGAGGTTTCTGTACTTGTCAGGAGTATAATAAACCATGACTAGAAGCTGAGGACTACCAGAACGGAGTGGGTCTCCACTGCAGGCAAAAGGAACCACATTTTTACTACTTAATGGCCAGCAGAACTAGAACGGCCCCACTCCAGAACACATTTGGAACAGGTCTCTGGGCTCCTGTCCTCTGGCCTATGCTTGGACACAAAGCCCTTCATGTACCCCAGGCTGGGCTGAGGACCAAAATTTAACAACCTACACCTGGGCAGCATGGGATGTAGGGCTAGACCAAGTCTTCCCAATCAAGCTACCAGAGCTTCCCCATGCCCCTTCCTATTGCCTGTCAATACTCAGCCTTGGCCTGATGGACAAGGCACAGGGCCAGGAGGGTATGACTGCATGTGCACCCGCCCTAACCTCACTCACAGCCACAAGCTGCTCAAGGTCTGGATCAGGTGTGACATGCACTCTCTTCTCAAGAAAGCCAAGGAGCAGGCAAGAGTAGTACTGTGCAGGACAGTAGTTGGCCCAGACAAGAGGAGAGGTACAAGGGAGGGAGGAGGGAGACAAACAGCCCAGGATGAAACCTGGCTTATGGGGCACAACACTGTCTGGCTTCTCTCTTTGAACAGTACCCAGGAGCAGGGCAACTTTATGATGCCTCACTCTCAAAACAGCAAGCTCTGCATGAAACAGGCAGTGGCTGCAAGGAGGGCTGGGGCAAGATGGTATTTGAGATGATGGCCCTGTGCCTAGGCTCTAAAGAGCAGTGGCAGAACACTCATTTCTTGCAAGTTGTAACAATTACCTAGGAGTTGGGCTAGTGGTTCTAAGAGACAAAGTTACTGACCCCAGCAACATCACTTGGCCAGTTCAAAGTCCTGCAACACAGAGATAGTGTTGAGTGGTTACCTGATTTCATGGTTCCACTAAGGAGACACTTGTGTCGCAGCTGTGGGCTGTGCTAACCTCATGCATTCAGGGCCAGTCACTGCCCAAGCACTGAGTGGGGAGGCAGACGCAAGAGGAAGTAAACTCATCAGAGACAGGAGAACCTCTAATATTTTATTGACAGAACTTTTGGTTACAATACAGCTGAAACACATTTTTTTGCTATGAAACCACACAAATGATACACACAACAATACATTTTCTTTTCACCTACGTCACTACTATTCTTCACATATACAGCCTGCAAGAGTTCCCACGTGGTTAATGCAAAGGAAAACTGGAGTAAAGCATGACAGTGTCACTCATAGGGGAAAGGCACACGACTGGCAGAAACAGTGAGGCCAGAGGAAAGCAAGGCGGTGTCTCGTGGTTTCTAAGCAGTCAGCGCACTCCCAGCAACAGAGCCTGCACTCCAAGCTGCCTGCACAGCAGCGAGGCACACACATTACATGACGATGAGGGCCATATCAGCAAGGGCAGTATAACGGCCACACGGCCACCACTTCCAAGCGAATGAGAGCACGCTACCACTAACACTGACCCACGCCCTGGGTCCTGCAAAGGTAGAGGGGTAAAAACAGAGAGGGGTCATTAATGACATGCAGACCACAGCTGAAAGTCACTGGCATAAGCCCAGAGTCAAACTGCAAAATAACAAGCAAAAGGTCAGGCTCTCCAATTCAGGTTCTGGAGGAGTAAATCCCAAGGAAAGATCTGTCAAGGCAAAAGGGTTAGAGAAACTGGAGATGTGGCCCTGGTGCAGACATCCACACTGTTCCCTCCTGCCAGAGGGAGCCTGACTCAAGTGAGTATCAGTGGCCACTGCAGGTGTGGAAACCACGGAAGTGGAGGCAGAGAGCATGCAGACAGGAGAATCACTGGGTGGGGGAACAGTGACAACACCTCAGGTGTGAACAACAGGGAAGAGAAGCTGAAGGTAAAGAGGGAGCCAGAGCCCCAGCCAGGGCAGGACAGTGGACTGAATAGTGGGAGAAGAGAAGAGAACATCAGAAGCTCTTAAAAGGAACACACTCCATCACTGCGGCACCTGCAAGTTAAACAGTGGGATTAAAGCCGAGGAGGGAAGTCTGCACAGGATACTGCTCTGGATCCCACCACACCTGTAAAAAGTGAAGAACAAGTGGTTATCTGCTCCTCGGCGGCCAGTCAGTGTGGGCTGGGTGCAACATGCTGTCTACAATGTGTGTGCTTTAAGACAACAGTGCAGAATGCAAAATGTGTTAGTCCCCAAACCAGCCTCCGCCGCACGTGTCCTTAAAATGAAAAGCAGTTTAGCAGAAAGTTACATAAGAAGGTCAAGAGGCCTACCAACTAAAGCATATTAAACTTTTAGATACAGAATACAGTAACATGCACCTATCTGCCCCAAACTACACAAGTTTCTCTCTAAAGCACCTGAATTTTCCCACAAACCTTTGAAAAATCAGTAAAGTGAACCAACCTCTTCTACTGCATGTCTAACAGGAAAGGAGAGCTCTTCTCAGTGCAAGTACCTGTCCTTTCAGCTCATCCTACCATCACACGATAGAAAGAGTTAGCTGATCGGCACTGTCTAGGAAAGTCAGGTGAGATACCTAACAGGTGCCCCTTTCTGACACCTGATACCAGCAGGCAGTATACCTGGGATCCAATATGAATCAGTGGATTGCTCTGGTTCTAGTACACAAAGCCATGGGCTTGTGTATCTAAGAAGTTAGGCATTTTAAATGATAAAAACTGAATAGGTTACAAAAACCTTACAGAAAATCCTTAGGATTTAATAAATCAAGGCTAAGTGCCTTTCCAAGTTTAGCAAAACAAAACCAAACACAAACAAAAAAACTTACAGAAAATCCTTAGGATTTAATAAATCAAGGCTAAAAGGCCTTTTCAGTTTATATTTAAGAATATAAAAATAACACATCATAAAATTTAAAATACGCAAGCCATCACTGCAGTATCATTAAACATGGTGATGTTTCTAAGGCTCTGTCATAACTGAGCTAAGCTTTAGTGGCTTCCCCTGTGGGGATGGGTCTTGTTTGTGTCTACCCTGCGCCTTATTAGCTCCTCTGCAGAGCACAGGAGTCAAGTCTCCCTGGCCTCGTCTCCCTCTCTGAGTAAACCAAAGAAACTAAGCATGAGAGTGAGGATGCAAAGCCAGAGCTGGGTCTAACAAGCAGGAGGCGGGAATTAAAGCTGATTCTTAGGAAAGGAAACAGCAACCAACAGAGCCACCCAATGTGGCCTATAGCTCTGGCACAGGGATGTGCTTCCTGACTCCTGCATTTGATCTTGGGTCAGAGGACACAGAGAAGAGCCTAGGAGTACCCAATGATGACTAAGAACAATACTTAGTTACTGCATGGACCCCTTGGGCTAGTGCTCTTCTCACTAGGACCTATCTTTAAATAGTGTCATTCAATGGTCTACATCAAGCTTACCTTCCCAATAATGCCACAAGGAAATAAAAGACAAACAACAAAACAAAAAACCAAAAGACAGAAGACAGGGATAGTCCTTAAGCCTAGTCCTCTAAGACCCTTCACCTAGTCTATGTCACCCTGAGAATTCTTTCATGTACCCATCTGTGGGCCTCTACAACAGAGTGAAGGACCACCTCTGGGGTCCATCAGTGAACATCACTGACATTCCATCCTGTAAGACTCTCCTCACCCACCAGACCACTCTCCAGTCCAGTCCTCCCTCCCATGCCCTTTAGGTACCCTGCCAGCTTCCATGAGCAGCAAAGCCTTCTACCTGCTTCAGGCAGAATGCTGCCTGGTGGGGGAAAATGACCACTGGGGTTAGGACCTAAGCTCTATCCTGATTCATACAACCATCCCTGACCTTTGCACATCACATGAGAACTACCCAGATGAAAATGGTTATGGAAAACCCACCTCCCACCCCATCCAGCCACGCTCCTCCACAGCAAGGCATGGGCGCAGAACCTGCACAAGCAGCTGCCTATTCGGATTGGGTGGGGGCTGGGGTGGGGGTTTTCTCTTTTGGAAAAGAAAAGGTGAGATATCCCCCTCAAAAAGAGTATAAATATAAGGATTTAACAAATGTGGCTAAGCCAAGGGCAACATAAGGTTATGTTCAGGTAAGCAGCTAAGTGAACTCACATTCATTACAGCACAAAATAAACAAGGCAAAGAGAGGGAAAGTAACTTGTCCCCTCCCCCTACTATCTACCTCAGGACAGATGGAGAGTCATTCCTTCAACCTCCTGGAACTTGAGAACAAATAATACACAGATGAGGGTTAATGTATTGACTCACTACCATCTTTATGAAAATCGAATGTACACACAACAACAATTATGAAAGTGTCTCCATTAAACTTTGATAAGACAACAAAAAAGAACTAACAAATAGCTAAGATGTTACTGTTTGAGTTGAAAGCATTTTCAATAACGTTTTAATCTTAAAAGGTCCGTATTTACACAGTATGCTAATGCTTTTTCATCTCATTTTAAATGCATGATAAAGAAAGAACAGAGATAATGGTTGCAGCAGATCTTCCACGGTTTGAGTTCGGGGGGTGGTTTGACTTCACTGTGAGAAGTGCACTGCAAGTGGGGAACATTCTTTCTAATTCTGCTTCTTTTATTTTCTGTGGTCTCCTTCACAGAAGCTAAGCCTTTAGGACTGGCTTGCGGGTCTGATGGTCCACTTCCGGTGTATGCATATCAAGGTCAGAGTGAGTGGCTGTTCTAAGCAGTGCTGGTTTCACAAGCTCATGTGTGTAGACAGTTAAGGGACACACATGCTCCTGGGAACCTCATCACACTCGAAGCGGCCCTGAGGCCAGTGGTGAACAGTGGTGTTGATGAGGATGTTTCCTTAACTGACTTCAATGCCTCAGTGCCTACTTTTCAGACAAAAATGCAGATTTGGGTTTTAAAGGTCCAGCACTCAAAACTATTTGAAAAAGAAGCAAGCTTGTTAAACTCATTTGTCCTATCCTCAACCTCCTACATAGCCTCCATCTCATCCTACTAGAGCTAACATATTACCAAACTCAGCAATTTAGAAAAATATCTATCAACAACCCCTGTGTCTAAGTGCAGTAGGTGGGAACGACAGTGGGGCGACCAGTTGATAGCACTTGGATGGGCTGGGGCCAAACATGCTACAGACCCCACAGGCCTGGCCCTTAGTGCACCTGTCAGGGGGCAAGACAGAAGCTTTGCGTCAGAAGTGGCACCATAACACAAGGTCTTCTAAGATGTCCTATGAATGCCTCTCAATTGCCTCGAACCCAAACAACCACTGTATTCCCCCAGTGCTCCTTGCCAGCACATTAATGCCATCTCAGAATCAATCCTATGCAAATTTTCATGGAGCCTTGAATACCACTGGCAACTTAATTGAACAAATAATGGAAAACTTCAGCTGTGGAAGCCAGCTTCAAGTCCTGTGCCTACTTCTCATTACCCAGCAACAGTAATTGAAAACAGATTTTTTTTTCTCTCTCTCCGCCCTACTAAGATATGTGAGATAAAATTACAGGTATAAAATAAAACTAAAAAGTCCTGAGTGTGTCCTAATGTCATTGTCCATTTTTTAGTATGTTCCAAACACTGAAGCATTCATGGGGGAAACATTTTAAGGCACCGTGTTCAGTGTCTGCCCGACATGGACTTCCAAGGGATGCTTTGTAGAACGCAAGTCTCACCTGCTGGAATTGACCAAACGACTAATGTGGACAGATACAGTTATCTTGGGCAGTGTCAGTCCTGCTGAGAAATCCATCCCTCACACATGTGATAGAAGGGTAACCCAAAGGAAACTCAGCCCTAAAGGACAGCGAGGTAATCAAAGCAATGACAGCACACGCCACAGATCTAGGGCATTAAAAAGCGGAGAAACCCAAGCAGGTCTGACCACCCTTCAAGCTGTGCCTCAACCTATGCCAGGAAACTAGGCCGAGAGGGCTGCCTGCAGGGTGGCAGAGCCACTGGCTCTGGAGTGCCCTGTGCTTGCCTAGCACTGTGCCCATCTGAGTTTCTGCTGAAACAGGTGGCACTTTGGAGGTATTTACAAGAAGCAGAATTGCCACTTCCATGGCACCATTCCCAGACACCCATTTCACACCCCGGCTTTCCAGGGCAGGTGTCAATCATAATCACCCAAATTTTTATCTATGTTTTGCCAGAGCTTGTGAGGGCTTTCTGAGGCCACTCCAGTTAAGCCTGGTTGAGAACTCTTTTCTATCCTGTACTGAAGATAAGTGCAACCATTATCAAATATTCTTTGTTGTGGAAAAATCCTTGGAATTTGAGCTGGTAACGTTCTTTCCTGAATCTAAGACTCTGTGACCAATCACATAGTAGTATCACGAAGAACAAAGTCTACATGCATTGTAAGCACTTGGAAACAAAAGAACATGAGAACAGAGTTCTTGTGGACAACAGAATTCAAAACAATCTAACACCAGACTCCAATCCCATGTCCACCAGTTTAACTTTCTTCTGGAATCACCCTGTGGCTGGCTGGTGCGCAGACAAGTTGGCAAACTGCAGACCGGAGAAACCTATACTTCTGGGGACCTTGAGCCGACCTACAGCTTCCTTGAAGAAATTCCACAGTGTGTGCAGCATGAGGTTAGATTTTTCCATTCAAGATCACTCCACAATCAGGGCCACATTTATGTGGGACAGATCAATCATGTGCCTGTAGAAATTTGAAGAAAGAGTTAAACTCTTACGACAGCAGTTTACCAAGGCACATGAAAATAAAGCAGAATGGTAGAGGTCCTGATGAGCAAGACCGAAGGTGTCTAGAAGAAGGGGCCCTCTCCAAACAAGGAAAGCGGTTTATTAGAAAGGATGTGTTCTGCACCTCTGTACAGCACAGCACAGCATAGCATAGCACAGCACAGCACAGCACCCTCCTCCTCCCCAGTTACCAACTACAGAACACACAGAATACCTGTGGAATTTCTGCTGAAACGCTAGTGCATGGGCTGGCTCCTTGAACTTTGCTATGGCTTTCCGTTGCTGTGGAAGCATCTGTAAACTCTATGGGAAGAAAACAAGGACAATTAATTAATTAATGCCCGATGCGACATGAAATATGAGCAATTACATGGCATAAGTTTATATGCAAAACAGGAGCCTAGGCCATTGCCTTGAATAAGGAAACAAGCCACCTTTCCTTCTTGGCCTCCCTGGGCACCTGTGCAAAGCAGAGCTGCTCAATCAGCTGGGGAACAACACATCCACACTACAGTATGACACTCAGACGCCCCTCCACCTGGACACACAAGCTGCCCACACTCTGAGACTAACACAGGTATCCATGGGTGAAGACATTTTCTTTCCCTGTGCCTTTCTGGAAGGTGACTTTTGAGGATATCCTCACCCATCTAAATAATGGCACTCACCCCTGGTTTACCACAGAGTAAATGAGTTATGAACATGTGGCAGGATGGGGGCAGGGACATGAGACACCTAACACATTCACCTTACCCAGAGTAGGTCCTCTGGGTGAGGGGCCCTGTGCAAGGATTGCACATTGAGCCCCGGACTTGGGTTTCTCTGATTTTAACAGATGTAGCAGACCTGGCTCCCAAGTGAGAACTCTGACAAAAACTGTACACTGAGAAACAGCAGGCCACAGAACCTGTTATCTCACAGCTCTGGCCAACTGCTTTTCCAAGGGTTAATGTGGTAGTGAGAAACAAAGTCACAATCCCCAGGCATTTCAATCTAGTCCACAGACCTACTAGAACAAGCAAGTGAGCTAACACAGAAAATGAAAAGCAGTGTGTGACCAGAGGCAGAAATCAGATGCCAGTTATCACTATATTAGGGTTCACACCCAGCACTGGCTTTAAAGTCACAGTCACTGAGCCACATGGGAAGGAGTCATTTTTTGCTTTCAGATACTGGAGGTTCATTGGATAAAAATTTTCTTCTCAACATAATTTCAGGAAAAGCTTAGGAAACAAAGACTTGTTTTAGCAGAGGGGCCTTGAAATTACAATGAACTTATTTCCTTGGCTCTGAGCTTTAACCTGGGTTGGCTCTCCAAACAGAGGCCCTCCCTAGTGACTTTCTGACTTACGGGTCTTGGGTCCTACACTCTCTTCATATGAAACTGAAACCCTAGGAGACTTATGCCAGAAGTACCCTTTTTCCACTCTTCATTGTCTCCTCTGGTTTAGAGGGGCTTGTAGAGTAACAAATACCATGCTAATTAACATCAGCAGTGTCTGTGGGATCACTGCCCTGCCAAACACTCAGGTCCGACAGGTACTAAAGCATGGTTTACCATTCACTCTCTCTTGAGTAAAAAGGCTTGAAAGACCAGATATCCCCTCTGCCAACACCAGTACTAAGCTAGTGAGCACTAGGTGGTGCCATATCCAAAGCACACTGAGCTTGGATCTCATTCTCAAACACCGAAGTACACTTCCAACAAGGAAAAACAAGCAAACAAACAAACAACAACAAAACATTGTTTCTTCTCAAAGCAGGATAACAGTGCTGGAACTAATTAATAATTATTATTTAATACTTATTATTTAACCAGCCAAAGTAATCAAAGACTCCTAGTGAGTGAGTGAGAGAGGGAGAGAGAGAGAGAGAGAGCGAGAGAGAGAGTGTGTGTGTGTGTGTGTGTGTAAGGGTGCCAGAGAAGGACAGACATGTCAATTGCTTATAGGCAACTATGAGTCACCTTTTGTGGATGCTGGAAATTAACCTCTAGACCTCTAGTGCTCTTAACTACTGGGCCAGCCCTGAGTCATTTTCTTTACCCATCAAATGGTACCATCAGACCTTGTTTTGTTTGTGCACACATTTAATCCCAGTACTCAGGAGACAGAGGCATTTGGATCTCTGAGTTCTAGGGCAGCCTGAGCTACACAGAGAAACCTCATCTCAAAAAAACGAAACAAAAACAAAAACAAACCGCCAATGAAATAAATATCCACACAATCTTACGAAAAATCATCCCACTAACCTAAGACCAGTAGGAACCAAGTGTTCTGCTTCCAGGATGAACAAGCCTTCGCCCACCAATCCCTCTGGGACTCCCAGGGTGGAACACAGCACTGAAGCTTCTATTTCATGTAAAGGGTAGGCATATTACTAGCATAACCTAAAAAAATTCTCCACTGGTTTCAGACCTTTGTTTCCAACACATGCCACTTATCAACAGCAACATTCCTTCTGCCGGGGATTTTAGATGACCACAATTAACTTTATATAAAACAATTATTCTTTTTTTTCTAGAACACAAAAAAGTGACAAAAGGGGAGTATCTAAGAAATCTATATTAATCCCAATATATAAAATTCTGTATGAGACAGGTAAGTCAAAGGTCACATTGTTTCAACTAATTATCTCCAAGAAGCCTGTGTGTCCCACTCAATATGTCTGCTGGGGACCACGAGGGTCAATAGAATACCCAAAATTGCTTATGCTGAAACCAGGGCACATGGCAACAATGCTACAGCTGCCTTCACACTCAGCACAGAAAGCCCAGAAAGTGAGAATTCTCACAAGACCCGATTATAAACTCCAACCTTCAAGGAAGGACCTGAGGCTATGGTGCAAAGCAGTGTTAAAATCTGGGCTATCTGGGCCATCATGCAAACCAGAATTTTCAACTACTACTTATTTTGATTCTCTGGTTATAATAACAACATGCTAACACATGTGTAATTCTCTACTATTAATTCTGGTCTCACAAACAGCCCATACTAAATCACCTACTCAGAAAGCACCTACCCCTTTTAAGACAATCTCAAAATGTACCCCTGCTAACCTCAACACATGCTCCTCCTGTGTGAGCCTCTCAGTGCTGGGATTACAGGTGTGCACCATCACAGTAGCTAAAACCGTTTATCCTTAAAGACAGAGTGTCACCAACAGCTAGCAAAAGTGGGAGCCCAAGTCTAGAGATGAATCTCTCAATAATAAATGCTAAATTAAATCTAACAACCTCTCTTAAGAATCCCATAATAAAGGTGGCTGTAATTAAACTAAGTACCTAAACACCAGGCTCAGTTTTGGAAGGCTTTCTCTTCTACTCATTTTTAGAGCACTTAATAATAAACAGACATACCTATGTTTGAGGAAGGGTCCTTCTTGATTATATATATATGTGTATATATATATATATGTGTGTGTGTATGTGTATATATACATACATATATATGTGTGTGTACACACACACACACACATATATATATCACACACACACATATATATATCACACACACACACACACACACACACACACACACACACACACACACAC